TTTCTCTACGCTGGTCATAGTCATTTCAGCTTCCTCAGGCTGACATCAGCTGCAGAAGTGTCCAGTCTCCTGTGAAAAAAGCACTAAGATTTCTCTATTGCAGTACTCCCCTTCCAAAGAGTGACTGCACATGTACTGTGTAAGACCAGCAAGGAACGATAGGTCTGTACTTGAACCCTTGTTGCCATCTGACCAGCTGCAAAGCTCTTGCTACCTTACGCAGAGGTCTCATATAGTATTTTTGTTATTAGGATTTAATGCCTTAGAATCCTCATGGAAAAACTATACTTCTAGAAATGCCATTGACTCAGGAGTGCTCACTTTAGGAAGAAAGGCCCTTTAGATTATGGTTTGTTTGTTTGTTTTTGACTTCTCTAAAGAGATAACTGAGCACACAGTGTGTCCATAAGTGTTGAATGAACTGCTTAAATGAATGAATGAACTGGTAGCATTATGAAACTTCTTCTCTAACAGATTTTGGAAATAAAGAAATCCTTTCAAAATGTTACAGAAACTGCGCTTTATCCTAACTCACAGCCCAGTGGTTCAAATAACAGTGTATAAAATTCACACCCAGTTATAGACCCACTAGTTATGGTTGCTATGGTAACGGGCTCTATGCCTATGAGCACAAAAAATATCTTTTGGACGAGATACTTATGAGTGTGTCTGGCTACCATGCAAGATGATTTTCATTTGATTTTTCTTTAGAGTAATTCATGTTCTCAGGCAGATGATTCTTCATAATAATTCTTCCTAGGAAAAGAGTAAAGTTTTTTATACTGGACATTTCTTGTATAACATGAATTTAATTCTCACTTGTAAAGGATATAATTTCAAATAAGAACTACTGCAAGAAATACATATTTCATTGTGAGGAGGTGAGGAGTTTTTACTGTATAAAATGTTTCATATACATATAGAAAAACACCCTTAATGAGAATTTCTGATATGTCTGATATTTTTAAAGGCCAGAGATGGCCAGGTTGAGATCCACAAATAAGTGTTAGAAATTAAGGCTTTAAAGAGCAACAGTCAATCAAGACACAACCTCCTGAGTGAGTTTGAATTGATGGATGAGGGTAAATGAATCTCTCTTTATTTTGACAAGGATAATTACCGTGAAGAAGGCTGTACTTTAAAAATGTTTATGTTAATCAGACAGCTAAGTACTGACCTGACTTACTGGAATGAAAGAATAAAATACAAAAGACTAGTCAGATGTGCTGAGACAACGGACACGGAAAGCATGGAAAACATTTCCTGTGCATACTGTTAGAAGCAAAGCAGCTCAGCCAGGAGTGGTGAGCAGAAGGTCGGGAGACGGAAGGGAACTGTGGGGCTTTAGCTCCGCCCATTGCTTCTTCACCCCAGGTCTTTAAAGCAAAGGGGACGGAGGAGCCAGGGGCAGTGGGGTAGAGATGGATTCCTGACTGTAGCTGCAAAGTTTTCTGTTCCCTCCCCTTTTCCTTTTATTTAATGTGTTGCTGGCAAACATGCCTGGATTGGGTTGCTGGTGACAGAAAATTCACTTCTGTTTTCCTTGAAAGCATGATTCCCTGTTGTGAGCTCGGATAATTCTCCTGGACATGAAGATGATAAATCTACAGGGCTGGAAGATTTCTTGATTCTATTGCTGTTTCCAATACATTTCCACATGTACTATGGCATTTAAATTCCAAAGTAAATCCATTCCATAGTAAACCCAGGAGGAATGAATTATTATCCTAATTTTGCAATGAGAAAACTGAAGCTTAAATTTGTTTAAGGTCATAGCCACAAGGTCTATCACTCAGTAGCTAAGGGGCTGAGTCTTCCACTGTTAGGTCAATATTGTTTTATTTTTAATATTTCAGCTCACATACCAGAGAGATGATATAAACTATTGTTTTACATTGATTGTAAAAATTTCAACGCATTTGCTCTTAGAAATAATAAAAGCCCCATAATGTCAGATCTTGCTCAGAAGGATCAGCTTTACTGAAGTCACAATATAGCTGAATTATATTACAGCTCTAATAGCAATGTGGGCATTAGCCAAAGGCTCTGACATTGCTGAACCTAACTACTGGACATAGAATGAAAATTCACTGATCATTTCAGGTGAATCCATTTCTAGCTTAAAAAAAAATGTACACTATCATATTATTTTTATCCTTTCCTATTCAGCCTCCTTCTGATGGAACTTGGTTAACTTTTAAATTGTTTTTAAATCTTGGGCCTTCCTGTATTAAGTTATAAAGATTACTGCTGATTGTTGTAATAATTATGATGAAAAACATGTACTTCACAGAAAGTTAAGTTTCATTTAGTAGCATAAAAATGAAAAAGCTGTTTCAGATTGTTTGGCTTCTTTATGAAGCAATTGACCCTAACTCTTAAATAGTGAATTTGGATATTACAAATGTTATAATTTTCCAGAATATTAAAGTTTACTATTTTGAATGCAAGTGAAGTTCTCCAGTAGAAAGAGCAATAAAATCCATTAAAATTATCAGAAAACCTATCAAATGTATTTGTTCAAAGATGTCACTTTCTGAGCTGCAAGACTTGTTTTGTTTGATCAAGAAATGAATGTGAGTTTACGATCTGTATTTAACCATGAACAGCTGCTCATTAATAAAAAGCCATTAAAGTCCAAGTCAGAACAGCAGGTCTAAAATTGCACTTGAGTGGTAAAACGCCGGAGAACTGTGTTGGGGGTGATGTCAAAGTAGAGTGTTTGCAAGGTCTCCTCCAACCTTCTAGGGGATCAATTGACAAGATAAGACTCCGTCCCAGTTTGAGAACTCTGAACAACAAAGACTATTTTGGAGGCGAGAAAGGAGGTGGTTGGAAGCTGACAATCTGAATTAATCAGCTTGTAATCGGGCAAAAACTGATCAGAACTTTAAAATGGGCAAAATTGTTTGTTCATAGAGCAGGTAGAACTCAC